AATCTCTCCATCTTATATGTTTTTTATGTACAATACAATATCCATATGAGCTTCCCTATATGATTATGGTTTATCTGATGTATTTGTGGTAGTAGTATAAATCATGTGAAGAATTATGTCTTTATGTAAATTTGTGTATTTTTTTTGTTTATTATATGGATGCATAAATATTTCCATTGCTTGTCTTCTATTGGCCATTTTAGATCGGTAACCGATAGTGTCATAGGTGTGCATTAGTTAATTTCCATCTTGCAAGTAGTTTACCATAGAGGTAGAAAACGGAAAAGGCATATTATGAATTGTTGCGACTAAGGGTTAAGGGTTAGTTCCCTACCCATAACGGTATGTCATCGTGCTTAAGGCAGGCAACTCTCAGATTAAGAGATAGAGTGAAATATTGTTCAATGGCAATACTTGGTTTATGCATATTATTTAACTTGTTGATGTGTAATGAAACTGAACTAGGTCTAAATAAAATATTTCATTGCAACTACCATATATTTAAGTTGCACTGCACAAAAATGAAAGAAGACATAAGGAAGTCTTAGGGGCAGTAGGCCCGAGCTACTCCCGAATCCTCATTTCTCATATGGGTTGTGGTCACAAGTGTCAAAATTCTGCGAGATAAATAGTTTCTTAGTATCTAAAGCAAGGGTTGAAAGATTCTGCCATTTACAGACACACAACAAATATCCAGTTGCCGGTTCTTTGGGAAGCCGAGAGAGTCCTCAAGCAGAGTGTATGAAAGTTAGGTATCATATTATTAACAAATATTTTATTAAATGAACCATAGATATTTTATGTTAATTTTCTTGACAAGTTTTGTTGTGTGACATTGCAGAAAAGAAGATGACCAAGGGATTTATGAAGAAGGATAGAGATCGGTGATAAAATATATGTCCCATCCGTAGTTTGTTAAGAGTCTCGGCTGTGAATCTGTAGCTTATGTTTTCTCTCTAGTTTGTTAAGAGGCTCAACTGTGAAGTGTGTAGCTTTGGCTAGTATTCTCTAATTCTTGGCTGTGAGATTTATAAACATACATGTGAATTGTCTTATGGAAGGCAGTCCGCAAATGAATGATTAGATGTTTGTATTGCGTTCATAGCTTTCTCATAGTGTGTTCCTATATTTCTGTCAATTTTGTTTTCATTGCTGGTAACATATAATAAGATAAAGAGCAGGCATGTGATGGTGAACGGAATTGTTACCACAAACCGTCCGTCGGTCAGGACTATCACAACAACACTGAGAGGCCAGGTGGTCGGTCTGTAATGAGCACGTCATCACTGACCCCGAGGCACTGACGGGCCAGAAACTCGTCTGTCATGATGTAATTTAGTCTACCACTGTTGTTCGTATCTGTAGCAGTTTTTATCTATCGGTGTCTTTTCTCCGAGGGCCGGAGAGACATCTACCGATCACCCCTACCCAAGTCCCAGTGGAAACTGTCGGCAAGGTGGGTGCACCAACCAAGTTTTGACTCTCCATATTCAGGTCCAGGGCAAAGCACAAGCCCCGCATGTCTAGTAGGGCAGAGGAAGGCTCTTGAGTGTTCATCTATCAGGGTCGCCGCCACTAGCAGTGCCTCCAAGGTCAAGAAGTTGAAGGCCCCGACAGGCGACAACCGGTTGACTACCTCAGCGATCGCCGAGAAGGCGAAGGATTTTACCGTGAACGCTAATTAAGAAGAAGAGGACGGCCACACTTGACACCGCTAAAGCGGTCAAGTTCAACAAGGCATCTAAGCTGGACCTACTCATCCGCAGATCTGAAGTGTAAGGGAACTGGTCCTTCTGTTGTGGATTTGTGTTCGGCTCAGCTAGGGCTGATATATGTGTGGCTTGCAGAGCGCTGTGTGCCGAGGATTTGGGGTGGAGTCTGTGAAGGTGCCTCACATGTCGAGGTTGCCAACGACGGGGAGATTGTCTTGCAAGGTTCTGACGCCGTTGAGCTGGAACATAGAACTCTCAGATGGACGAGTGGAGCCCCCCAGCAGGACTCGAGAGACTTAGGCTATGTTCGGTAGCCCTCCACTCCTCCACTCGGGAGCGGAGCGGGTGGAGCAACATATTAGCAGCTCCCCAAATTGACACTGCATGTTGCTCCCCTCCGGAGCGGAGTTGGAGAGCAGGAGGGAGTCTGAACAGGCTCTTAACCACAACCCGGCGTTAGGAAAATGTAAAAAAAGTATAGAAAGGAGGAAAATGTAATTGGGTGTTTCTGTAGTTGTGCACAGTCAAACATCGTGTAACTACAGTTGCGAGATGTTACGCTGGGGTACAACTGGAGTTTACGCACAATCGGACGGACGTACAAGTGAAGTTGCACGCCGTGTGAAAAAAAAAACATAAACTGAACCAAGACGCGTAAAAGCCGGCCGGCATGCCACTCTAGTTACACGTGACCGATGGACATGGCTTGAGCATAGTCGGTGGATGTGAAACTGCAGTTGTGCGTCGATGCCAGCACGTGCAACATTTTTTTTTTGTGAAGAAAACTGTTTAAGTGTATATGTGTATTAGTCTTTTTGGTCACTTTGGACTTTTGGACTTCGGACATTTTCGCAATTTGTCCAAAAATTATTGTTGCCCCCTCTTCGTGCACATATAGGGCGTTTGAGCCATACATTTAAGTCCCTTCACGTGTTGACTTGAGCATTACACATGAGTGGGCTGTTAAAGTATATATACGGACTGCCTACCTCTTTTCATCATTTCAAATTTTTTTGTTGGGTTGACTAGTCCTAATAGAAACAAGGAAAAGTCTCTAAATCTACCGACTGATTTTTCCATCTCGTAAACCCCCTCCTCTGCGCGCCACGTGCCCGTGTCAGACAGCCCACCGCTTCCCCCAACCTTATCTCTAAGGACGAAGCTGTCTCCTCCACATGTTCCTTCTTTCCTTCCCCTTTACAATTTCATTCATCCTAATGACCAGAGGAGAGGACGCGAAGACCACCATACCAGCTAGAAAACCGGCAGGGGCTGCCGCGGGCCGCTGCCTTGATTCATCCGCCGCCCAACCCCATCAACGGTTGAAATCAGAGAGGATGATGCAACCACATCGCTGTTGCATCCTCGCATCGAGCTGTGGCTGAAAAAAGGAGAAGGGCGACGCCGGCCAACACAGGAGCACATGCGTCACAAGGCAGGGAAGGATTACTACGGCTACCTCGGCTGCAAGGTTCCGGTGTGCCCGCAACCCCTGCGTTTTGCAGCAGCACTATGGCTGTGGCGGCGGCCGCGGCGGGCGGGGATTTGTGCAGCAACGGCAACAAATTGCTGCTATGTCTTGCTGTGATGGTGGGCAGCCACTTCCGCGGTGCTTCCGTGGCTGCAATGGAGTGCTCGCCGGTGCTTCTTCTCGGCGTTGCAAATGGAGATCTCATTGGCGCTGCAATGGAGCACTTGCCGGCGCTTCTTCCCAGCGTTGCAATGGAGGCTCGCGGGAGCTTCCTTCCGACGCTGCAATGGATAGCTCACCGGCGCTGCAATGGAGCGCTCACCGGCGTTCGCGGCGCAGAGCTGCAATGCAGCTCGCCGGTACTGCAATGAAGCGCTCACCGGCATTCACGAAGCTGCAATGCAGCTCGCCGGCACTGCAATGGAGTGCTCACCGGCAGTCGCGGAGCTGCAATGCAGCTCGCCGGTGCTGCAATGTAGCGCTTCCCGGAGCTCCCTTTCGGCGCTGCAATGGAGTGCTCGCCGGCACTCCCGATGCTCTGCAATGAAGTGCTCACCGGTGGTCTCGGAGCTGCAATGAAGGTCCCGGCGCTGCAATGAAGTGCTCGCCGATGTGGTCTGGGTGTTCCGTTGAAACTCAAGGCGAGCGGCGGCGACTCCGTCGTAGCAGCAGGGGAATGGGAAGCAACACCGGTGAGCGATGGCCATTGGAGGATATGGTGTACTACATCGAGGCCAAGCGGTGGCCACTGAGAGGAGCGATGCTTGGGAGGGGCCGTGTGCTGCGGGTCAGGGATGCAGGATCCGCCAGAGTCCAAACCAACAGTTATGATTGTGCGCATCGAACGGCCATGTAGGCGGTTTATGTTTTCACAAATCAGTCGGATGATTTGTAGCAAGCGCCTAGAAACAAACATCAGTTAACCAATCGAAAACAGAAAAATTCTTCCCAAATATCCTCGTAAAATCATTTTTTTCAAAAAGGAGATCACCTCCACCTCGTAAAACCAAATGCTCTCGAACTTAGACGAAACTTTATTATATATCATCTAGAGCTGAAGAGAATTAGCAAATTAATCATTATTAATCTAAATATTGATTACTTTAGCTAACTATAAGGATGGAGCAAATAACCCTTCTATGTGAGTAATACTATTCATCACCCAGGTTGCAGAATAAGTTATTTTTCACCCGAGGCAATCTTGCGATCGCTTCATAAACAAATTATGTTTGGAATACAAATAGTTACATACATATTGATTCACTACGTAAAATTTGGTATAAGAAAACAAAAAAAAAATCATCCCCAGTTTGTCTGCAACTGCCGGTAGAGGGGTAGGAAAAGGTGCGGCCAACAGTATGTCGTCAGATTGCTCGTTCCATCCGATCCGGTCCTAGAAAACCAGCAAAAGGAGTCTCAAAACAGCCACTGAACAATGCTTCCTCAAATGCAGGAATCGGTTTGAGAATCAACTCACTCCCATTTCATTCATCCAGGCATTTGGTAAAAACAAAATAGTGAGAGCATATCCATATGTGAAGGAAACAAAGGGGTGCCAACAGTTGCTCGGACGGACATAATGTTCATTCATTCAACGGAAACAACAACAAACAATTCTGTATAAGGAATGTACAGGAAAACACAAATAATGCCAGGAAAAACCCTATGCGGTCGATCCTCTCGTGTCGAAAGGACTACCCGCTGGGGTGAAAAAACCTGGTAAAGCGACAACAGAGATAACAATAGCAACTACACAGGCTGGAAAGAAAAAAAAAATGATGCTCGGACATAAGCAACCTGGAGGACGAACCTAGCTGCTACTCGATCGGTGTCCATTCCACTGTCAAAGCAGGAGCCCCCGGGAGATTACCAATCTGGCGCCTCACCTCTTCCTCCAGTATCTCATCAAAGGAACCCCTGAGGCAGACTTGGTTGATACTTGAGAGATTTTCCAAATCAGAGATTTGTGTCCCACTAGAGCAGTCAACCTTGAGCACCTCAAGTTCGTCCATCCACCCTTTTTTGAACGTCACGTGCAAGCGTGACTTGCATGCAACCTCCAGGACCTTCAGAGGACTCATCAGCTTGAAATTGAGCTTGTCACCCTGAAATTGATTGAAGAAAAGGCGCAGGACAGATAGTTCATGTAGATGTCTGATCACCTTCATGTCTTTTGCCGCTAGCATGCACATCTCTAGGGTCAATTTTCTCAGATTTTCAAACTTCTTGATACATTCAGCCGGGAACTTGCGCATAGGGCCGTAAAGCTTCAGGCTGCTTAGATGGTCGTTATAACGAACATCATGCAGCAGACCAGAATAATCTTCGATATCTCCCTCGAATCGCACTGACAAGGAGCTTAACTTTCCATCCGGTAAGGACAACCACCTCATGTTTCCCGGGTTGATGCCGGAGACTCCAAGCTTGCGTAGCCCGGTGTAGTCTCGAAGGTTCTTCAGGACAGCCTTTCCACCGGCAGCACCCACATTGACAACTCCAATAGTGTGCAAGTCTTTTAGTTTTCCTACTATCCCGAGAGGCACCACAACACCATAATTATAAGAGCGCTCCGTGCTGATGCCTTGGCCGTCATCCAATGGTATGGCGCGGCCAACACGCAAACATTGAAGCTTCTGTAGCTTGTTGATACCCCTTGGGAGCTCGGCTATGCTGGTCCCTTTGACATCCAGAGTCTCGAGATGCTCCAGTCCAAACAATGAGCTTGGCAGACACGAGACGAGTTGGCATCCTCGTAGGGATAGGAACTTGAGGCGAGGTAGCCACTTCCACTTAATCGAAGAGAGCTCGTCGTCCGTTAACTCCACGGCATCCTCCAGATCAAGCACCTGAAGTAGCACCATCTTGCAAGGGACAAGGCGTGAGTCCCATTCCACAAACACGGTCAAAGACCGTAGAAGGGAGAAATCAATCATCCCCATATGAAGTTGCGTGAGCTTGTCGTGCTGTACGGAGAGGTGCCGTTCTCTCCGTTGGCTTGTTAAGCTTTGACCACCATCAATCACGTAGACAAGGTTGTCTTGCATTGGCTGCGAGACCATGTATTCGTGGAAGAAGCCGCTGACCATCCCCACTCTGTCCTTTGCTGACCGGATGGAAGAAGCCGAGACAACTTCTCCATATACAAATGATACTGACTTCACAATGGTAGTCACGTTTTGGCTCTCGGGTCCAACTGATCTCTATATCCGGTACACTTAGTTGTGTCTCTAGATTTGAGCCAGACCGACCTTTTCCTGTATATGGTTTTATAGAAAATGAGCCCCCAGGCGGCGTGTGTATGAGTACAAGAATACAGCTGCCCCTTGTTTCTTAGTAGCTCAGTGGTGGAGCAGTCGGCTGTTAACTGACTGGTCGTAGGTTCGAATCCTACTTGGGGAGATTTTATTCATTCTTTAATGTAAGAATAAAGAACCCTGACAACTGAAGGATACGGGCCATGCGTACAATGGAGCATTAGGCTCAAAATGGCAGCTTGAAATTTGTGTGATATGCCGATGAAATGTGAAATACGAATCCAACTATGCCGTGGCACATAATTTGTTTG